AGCTGGCTTACCCGGCTCCGCCGTATGTTCCGAATAGAAAATCCCATTTTTTAACCGATCCGGACCAAACTTGGCACACATACACTTCGGGCCCCGGCGGGTGTCACAGTCCACTTTTCGCTATCGATCGATGTCGATTTTATCGATTTTTGCAAAATTTGAGCTAGGGAGCTGGAATTTGGCAGGGGGTTTAATCGAGCATGCTGATCACCCCCATGGGGTGATCAGCATGCCCAGCCCCGTAGCTCAAATTTTGCAAAAAATCGATAAAATCGATATCGATCGACGACGAAAAGTAGCCTATGACACCCGCCGGGGCCCAAAGTGTATGTGTGCCAAGTTTGGTCCCGATCGGTTGAGAAATGGAATTTTCTATGCGGAACATACGTACAGACAGACAGACAGACAGACAGACAGACAGACATGCAGACAGACATACAGACAAACAGACATTCAGCTTTATATATAAGATATACCGTTTTCGGCCGTGTTTTATCGAGTGGTACCTACGGCTCTTTGAGTTTCTCCCAAAAAGTCCGAAAACTTACAAAGTTTTGGGTGTTCGTATAATTATGAACCGCACTTTATAATAAAACCTAGTACAACTCTACGCATTTTATCAATAGAAAGATATATGACATCGAAAAAGAGCAACTGTTTTCTTAGGATTTCCTCGCCAGAAACAAAAAATCTTCCTATCAAATGGTAGTGCACTCTTATTCATTTTGCTCAAAGATTAAGCTAGAACATCCTTCAAAAGATTTATAGGCAGAGGATAACACAGATCCGCAGAGCGAGATATAAAGCTTTCCTAACAGCTCCCATTTCTAGTGAGCGGCGATGTACATGCATATGGGCTTTATTGTAGATCGATGAGGCACAGTATTACAGGAGTGTCTCCTCTAGTTCATTTGGATTGCATTTTAAAAAATTTTATCATTTGTATACATGTGATGTTTATGCTAAATTCTGCTTGTTACGATGGTATCTGTATTGACTCTGTTGATCCACTATGTCGTCTTCTTTGGAAGCGTGTCAGTAGAAAGTTAGTAGCCGTACAGCAGTAGCGGACGACACTGTCTCTGACGAGTGTCGTTCACCACTGCTGTGCGGCTACTTACTTTCTACTAACACGTGGTGGGTCTGAGACTCCCGAATAAGGTGACATAGTCGAAACTTAATTGCAATAAAGATTCCACCGTATCAATCTGAACTGACATAAACATCACATGTTTACACGACATCAAATGCCCAGGTTCACTGAAGAGAGAACATGGATGTCACCATTTGCCACATACCCTCGATACATAGAGCCACGTACTCTGGTAACCTTCACTTTGTGGGCTATGAAGGGACACAACCTTCACCTGGAACTTCTTCGCCCCGGATGTTATTATCCTGCCTATATCGGAACGAACGTTAATGAAGCAAATATAGGGAATAATATCTTTAGCTTATCTCAGCGAAACCGAGAATTTGCCTTTTCATAGACGTTTTATGTTGAAAAGAAGGTTTCTGTGGAATTTTTGCCAAAATTCAGAACAAAATTTTTGAGTGAACCTCTCATTTGACCAAAATCGAGTTTCAGAAGTTTAGAAAAGCTGTTAGAGCTGAGTAAGAACGAGAAACCGCGCTCAAATCTTGCGCGCAAAGAGTGGCGCAGGAAGACGCTAGTTACCTCGTGAATGAGTGATTTTCAAAGCTTGGGACGTTGTAAGTTCTCCTCGTCGTGTCATGACGATCAGAATGATATATAATGTTGCAGGGTTTCGTTGAGACCCCGCGGAGATCTACGACCGGAGCCAAATGCCCCGTCGGCTCTGGTCTGTCTCCGCTGCTCGTCTGCGTCTCCGCGCGCTGCGCGCTACCTCGCTACCCCAGATGCGGGGCGCGGGGCATTTGGCTCTGGTGCCCTTTTCTTCGCTGTTTCGAACCCAATTTTAGCAAACTATATATCATATTGAAGCTCTTGATCTCTATTTTCACGCTGACATCGTCCCAAAACCATATTTTTTGATTTGATAGAGAATTCCGGCAAAAACCTTGTTTTCGAAAATCACTTGTTTTTTTCCTGATTTAACTCTTTTCACGCGGTTTTTTCGTGCATTATATAAATCTTGCTTCTTTTCATAATGCAGACAACCCAGCCCTTATCTCTTCGATTATGCTGGAATTTTTTGCGAAAAACCGTAGAAAGTGCGTTTTTTTTACCTTGTTCTGTTTCAGTGTTTTCGCATCGGTTTTGTTCCAGCTTGGACGATTGTTGCTCAGAGCAATAAGCGCAACAGTTCAGACAACGTCCCAAGAAACAGGAACGTCAGTGCGGGGGTAAAAATTCAAAGGACGCATCAAAAATCAAAACTCCGTGTTGCGAATTGCTGGTCCTGGAGCGAAAACTTGCACTTTGAAAGGACGCTAAATTCAGACCTCATTGCAGCGTTTTTATCCGGTTTTCAGCAGTTTCTTTTGCTTCTTATATCTGTTTTTACTCATTTTTACTTCTCTGATTTTTTGAACAACCTTCACTATTTATGAAGTCACATGTTCAAACGACCGGGTGGAGGACATTAGGTCGCCGAAAGAGGGCGGTGCCCGCGGTCATTTGCGACAAATACGCACGCTTGTACATACGCGGACATGCGTTCCTGCAGGGAATCCGCGCGGGACTCTTCCAAATTCGGCGACCTAATGTCCTCCACCCCAAACGACTTTCACTTTTGATGCCCTGTCTCTAGATTATCGAAGGTATGATAGACAATATCCTATAGACATGGGACGCTGATTCCTATGCTTTCGATGTCTGCAAAGCACTTCTGATAGGGAGTTCTCGGAATATTTTGAGTTAATTCAATGATTTGGCAAAGATAGAAATGGGTGTAGGGTCTTTCCGATGCTCGAGAGGAGTAATGACTGACATGAGTTTATTAAATTGAATGTCTTTATTTCATAAAACGTCCTGGTATAAATTATGCCCCAATTGATCTTATGGACCAAGGTTCTGAATAATTTTATTGTAGCGGCGCTTTCAAATTTTCGAGTCAGGAAATTTCCATAACTCCCCTCCCAGAAGCGCTTTGCAGATATCAAAAGTAGATTCAGACCTAGCGTTCCATGCTCTATAAGATGTTATACATTTCTATGGAAACGCCACTTTGACCAAGTATCCATCCCTTGTTAGAAAAGTTGCCGGCTCAGGCGACGCGGCTCCCGTCCGCCTATCCTGGACCCTGCGCTCGTGTCTGCGACGTGTTTCCTGATTGCTCCCCTAGTCCGCCTTTAATCGCCGCACAGGGGGAGTGCCGGCGACACTGTCACTGAGACAGAGAATAATGTTGGTTTGACAACGATCTTCAGCAGACAAATATTCGAATAAAGGTCTTTTCCATTCATTCGACTACTCGAATAATCAAAGAAATGCACTTTCCTAGATATTCGACTTTCTAGTTCGAACAAATCATTCGAATACAAATATTCGAAAAATATTTGGTTGTAACTATATAACCTACCCAATGCAAGCGAACAGTCTTAATGAACATATCACATCATTGTATCAAGTCATTTTCTACTTGTTAGAAAAGACATCTATATTAGCTCAGCCTTTTGGAAAGGGGCATTGATATTTTAAATCAGCTTGAAACGCCGTGATTCCAAATATGTTTCGCTATCTGCGTCGCACCATTTTGAATCGATTTATAAGCTTTCTACAGTGAGAGATTGGATTCTACTCATTATAGAAAGACTGCCTGTCGGCAGAAATCTGCCCTCAAAAGGTGCTGGGATACATAACCAGCTAGGAACAGTATATTTGGAATCAGCGTTCGAAACAAGTCCAGGACGTGTATGTTTTTTTCAAAAGGCCGGGCTAAGAAAGGTGTTTTCCTCAAGAGCGTTCATGTCATATGTAGTTATAACAAGCTCTACCCTTTGATTCAACAGGACTAGTGAACCATAATCAAGGGCGCTGGATTGCATCCGCGCGCTTCGGAACCGCACCGCGGTCTCCCGCTATAGGAGGATTTTTGAACTGAGCTAACGATTCTTCATATATTGGATTGGCGGCTGAAGGGCGGAGTTACGAGGCCTAATCAAGGTTAGGGAATGATCAGAGAGCAAGCTCGCGAGAGAGACGCAGACTGCGTCGCGGGTGCGGGCGTTCGCTTTCCAGCAGCTAATAGTTGAATCAAAGGGTAAAGCATTCGCAATAAAACATATCTTTGACAAGTTTATTACATGCAATGGAACAGTCACATGCAACGTTCGCTCACTTGATCCACATAATAGCTACATCAATACAATTGTGTTCTGAAATGTGAACTGCGTCTTTACGAAAGAAATTCAAAATCAACATTACATATGAAGGTGTTTTGCTGCGCATATAGCTTTTGAAGCCCTAGCTAGAGCCAAAACCCCAACAGGCTTTCCATCTTAGAAATTCAAAGTCTTTCATCTAATTTTTCTCTAAAGCAAGATTACGCAAGTGTTTTAGAAGATAAGCTAATACGAGGAAGAAGAACCCTAGTCGCAGTAACCCCTTTTTCATTCACAGGAGAGATGCTTATCTGCTTTTTCGATACTACAAAATGCTCTGTAAATACTTGATGGACAATGGCATATTTGCGAAGATACGCAAAGTTCAAAATGTAGAGGGAAGCCTGAAAATACTTGCACTTCCTTTTAAGTAGGTCTCCAGCGGAGATCCAGGGAGACCCGAGGCCTCTGCATGGTAAATATTTTCATGCTTCCCATTTCACTTCAGCAACACTTGCGGGTTCTCCCTTTCTTCTTAGGAACTAAAGCTCTGCTTGCTAGGAAAGCGTGCACGGTCCAATAAAAAGCAGCCGTGGATAGGCTTTCCTAACGACCCACATTCCAATTTTCTGCCATGAAGTTATAGTGGAAAGCCTGTTGAGAGCTGGCCTGACGCTAATGTGCTTTTGTTTAAATCAGTAGTAGAATTGCAGCAGTGAAATGATATCATCTTTGGAATCAAGACAATAATCTTTGCCTAGTGTTTCCACCATAAAGGATGCCTAATTCGCAGCGCGCGTCAAATTGCTTTTTACATAACCACACTGGCAGCAATTCACACTAATGTGTTCAAACAAAAGCATAGGCTGGGACTTCATTGTCGTAACTGCACTAAATTTTTTTTCAAAATTAGATCGCATGGCGTGACCACGAGGAGTCTACGCTTCGTCGAATGCCATTACACCGGCGATAATCGCGAATCCAATCACAGATGAGATCCACTGAGCGTACTTATTGTAACTTTTTGAATTCTCAGGGACCACGATCTATAATGAACATCTTTAAAAGTCTCGCATTTTTCAGAACGAGATTAATGTGACAGAAAAAAATTTGAGTGATTAATTTCAAGGACGCCGGAGTTAGACACTTAGATATAAATCTATATTCTCTCACCTCAAAAAAGGTTATGTAGATAAATGTGCCTAATGATAGAGTGACAAGAAGACATATGACACCGTCTTTGACTTCCATGTCCATACTAGAGTTCTAAATTTGAGAGGATTTATTATTCTGTAAACGCTGACCCGGGTTTTTTCGACACTTACTTGTAAAATGATACCAATGACACCTCCAAGAGACGCAACAAGTGCCAAAGCACTGATCAGTACGACGACAATCCACTTTTTATTTGGATGAGCTTCAGCAAGTTTCGTCCCCACAGAAAATGCAACGACAGCTTTATGAGCAATAATACCGCAGAATAGTGATGCCACGGAAACTGTGGAATGCTGAAAATTTTTAAAAATTGGTAAAGATGCTCCTACAAGATCTTCTGATCATTGGAATGTTTGACAGTAAGCACCAGCGCCATCTGCTTGGAGATAGAAAAAAAGGATAAGAGTACCTCTACCGCAGAAAAACAAGTGAGAATTTCATTCTTCCAACAATTAGAACCTCTATACAAGTGAACCAGTTGTGTAAAGATGATAGATTTGCAAGCGCGTTCGCTGCGGGATGCGTGCGGTCTCTCGCAATTTCACCTTTTTCTAATGGACTTTTTTCTAATGGATTCTTCATAAATAGAAATTATTAGTTGGGTCCGAAAGTTCTGTCGTTTCATTTTTGAAAAATCATAACTTTGCGCTGTCACAACGGATTTACTTCATTGTATTTTTATTAGAAAGAGTAAATCTTTTGATTCCGAATGCTGTTTTGCTGAGCTTGCGCTTCACACTGGGTGCGGAGAAAAAAATTGAAAACTAAGACCATATAAGCTTTGACCATTTTAAGCTAGGTCACCAAAAATCTGGAATGCTGCAGAAAAATCTGAAATCGTCAGCAATTATGTTCTTTAGCCTACTCTTGGCAACTGTGAAGAGTTCATGCCGTTTGGACGTCTCTGTAAGAAGTTATGAAAATTGAGTTTACTATAGAAAACGCCGAAATCAATTAATTTGTCAATTTTCGCGAAAATCACAATTTCTTACAGAGACGTCCAAACGGCATAAACTCTTCACAGTTGCCAAGAGTAAACTAAAGAACATAAGTGCTGACGATCTCAGATTTTTCTGCAGCATTTCAGATTTTTGGTGACCTAACTTAAAATTGTCAAATCTCAAATGGTCTTAGTTTTCCATTTTTGTCTCCGCACCCAGTATGAAGTAGAAGCTCCACGGAAAAGCATTTGAAAGTGAAAGACTTGTTCTTTTCAATAAAATTACAGGCAAGCAAATCCGTTAAAACAGCGCAAAGCTACAAATTTTTGAAAATGAAACGACAGAGCTTTTGGACCCACCTAATATATGGGAATCTCTTGCTTAAAACTAGCAGAACGTGCTATTTGCTGCTCTTGGGTTTGCAGAATTAGGAAGGTAGGCGAAACCCATGACTGACCTGTACACCAAATGCAAATCCTTCCAAGCTTGAGTGGAACATCAACGCTAAAACAAAGGTCAACGATCGTACAATAGCCACTCTTGAGTCAATCTAAAACAGTTCTATGCCTTTGGCAAAATTACGCATCAACTATTTAGTACCGAGTCTGTATCACAGGCTTCTTCAACGTTCGCATCAGGACTATATGTCGTTGTGCATTTCCTACGTGCGTGCCTAAAACGTAATTATAAAGCAACAGTTTTCCGAAATTATATGTTTTGAACTTACCAGGCATCCGCATGCCCGAATGATTTAGCTATCATCGTCTCGAAAATATTTACCATGAAGAAACCAATCATAAATAGCAGAGGTACCCATGGATATTCTGTTTCCCATTGTGCGTCTTTTTTAAAGCTTTCAAATGATTCCCTGCAAAAAAATTGGCTTTAGTCCTTCATTTGTTTAAAATTATATTGGCTATGCTTGGACCAGTCTGGCATCTGGACCAAGACGTCTTATAGTAACCAAAATGGTTCAAATAATGCTTACAATGCTCCTGGGAGTAAATCCAAAAAACACACTCCCAAAAATACACCACCAGAGAAGCAGGAAAGTAAAGAAGTTGCTAGTGCAGCGGTTTCTGCATATTTTCCTTGTTTATGAGAAAGAATGGCCATCACCTAAAAACCGTCTTCGATTTTTCTTGAAAAATCCTGTTCTATAATTTTCTACGTTTTCTTCAAAAATCGTATTCTATAATTTCAGCACAAGTACTGGCTCACCTTTAGAGGCAATAAGCCAAACCCCAATGTAACAAGTGAGATCACCGCAAGGAGAATTGCTTTGAGTAGAGTAACGTCCATTGCGTGGAAGAGATTACTTCTGTAACACCGCACTTTTATTGAGAAATGATTTTGATTTGCAAAAATGTTTCGTATCAACCAAAATGTGTAAAATGCGCTATATGTTGATCAGAAGTAGAGAAACTCGAAAATCTTGTTAATATCTAAGGAAAATATTGAGAATAACAATTTGTGTGTAAATTCTTAGAAAATGATTGAGCGAAAGAAGAAGATGGAGGTTAAGGAAGGTACAGTCCCTAACAATGGCGAAAATGGGTGAAAGACCGAGTCAGAAGCGAGCGACAGCCACAGGACTTAAATGCCTAGTTGCAAACCTGTCCCTAATAGGAGTCAGGTGCAGATTGACTCATTAATTAGATAAGATCAATTGATAAATGACTCAGCTATCCATTTTGTAAAATATTATAGCTATAAACGTATTCTTTAAAACACACTCGAAGATCATCTCTCTACAATGATGATTTATAAAGGTTTTTCTCAAAAGTAGAGTGAAAGGAAATTACTGTAAGATAGTGTAGGAAAAGTAGTCGCACAAAACTTGCTGCTATTCTGTTTGAATCACGGGGTTTTAAGAGATTTTTGCAGAGTTGAGCCTGATTCTCCATGCCGATATTGAACAATAAGTAGAAGAAATGATACACAACTTAAAAACAGTTACGTCGATGAATGAGGTGGTCATAACGGTTCCTTCCCTAATTCAGATGTAGTAAGAAATCGATGTGTTGAAAGAGTTCAATGTCAATGCATCGAAAATCATAAGACAAACTGATCCATCAAGGAAGAAAATAGCAGAAGTGCGAGACTGAGACCTGCCAATGACTTTCAGACTTATGACAGATTTATACTGACAAAATCTCAAGGTACCATTGTGAATGCTGAAGTGCAAAAAACGAGTTTTTAGGAAATTGGAGAATCGGGTCAGCTGCACTCTTCTTGGTGCATTAGGTGGGGATGAGGAACTTAGGTAACCACATCACTGAGGAAATCTTTAATTGAACTGACATCGGAAAAGGCTAGACCAGTCTTGGGATACCGAAGGAAGAAGAAGTGGAAGTAAGGAGAATATAGGCGATGTGTACTCACTAATGTTTATTGAAGTCCAAGAATTGCAATATAGTCCACTGAATAAAGACAACATTTTTCCACCATTCTTTGGAGTTTTACTCATGATTTTGAGAAACCAGAGCTTTTCAGAGCTTCTACAGAGCTTTTTCAATAGAAAGCATCTCAAAGAGTTGAGCGTATCCACTGCTGGTCTATGTTTTGACATAGGTTTACACCAGCATTTCTTTTGAAAATTTTCGAATAGTAGTAAGAAACCGTTATTCTAAGCAGAAATTTAGCTGCATTTTCCAGCAAAAATGTTGAACCATAGGTGGAGAAAATTTACTACGAAAAACTGAATTTTGAACGAAGTTTGAAAGGGAGTGAAATATCTGAACCTTGGCAAAACAGAGTTTAATACGTTACTCTATGGAAGAGAGAGGAAACCAGCTGACAAGTTGATTTGTACGGTTTCTGCTGCATAATGAAGAGATTTAGGCTTGCAAAGTATGTGACTAGAACAGTGAGGAAAAGAGGTTAACGCGATTATGCTAATAATTGATGTCAAGAGCTTCTAAAAAATTTTGGCATTTCTTTGTTGCTTCCTAAATGTTATTTTTTGAAGGAAGTCAGCAGGTGAGATTCGTAACTGGAGTGTGACTGTGGGAAAAAATCCTAACTTAATCATAAAACGCCAAAATATAGTTACCGTGGCAATTTTCAAGCAATGAAATCTGAATATTGATAGTTTTCGTCTGTTCTAATCGTCAATTGGCTTTTCCATACAGGCTATTTACTTTCAAAAAAAATTTCTCAAGAGCTTGTTGGGCAGACTAGAGAAACATGCTGAAATCAGCTTTTCAGCTCTCTTCAATAGTATGCAAGAGATTCCGAACCACCTCTTCGCTTAAGAATATCTATCCCTTGGAAGGATTTTGTGTTAGAGTTAATCAGGGCTTCCTTGGATGGACAATGGTGAGCAGAGAACCACCAACTAACGCGCTTGCAACTTTCTGAAAATAATAAACCATAGAACGACTTTTTTCAATGCTGTAGTCAGAGACCTACACAGTTTTTTGTTGGGAAATATTTTAAAGAACGGAACTACGACAATAAAATTTTTTCAGAAGCTGCTAAAGTTCTGAAGAGTAAGAAAGCAAACACTCTCTGGGAAAGACCTAGCAGACAGTGTTTGTCCAGGTTCGTTTGCCGGTAATAAATAGCATCGAATGCAGTTCCTCTTATGGCGATCACACAAAGAACGACATCATTGACTGCGAGTCACTCGAATTATCTTCTAAGTCCCGTTTCTCTTCGCCATTTTTTCTCCTGTCTCAGAATTCATCATACGATCAACATAAATCGTCGATAAATCTTGTGTACGAGAAACATTTCCAGAAAAACACCGGTCGCGCGGTAGAGATGACAGTACGTTTTCGAAACATCAAAAGCGGCGCAAAGTGCAAAATTGTTCGCTCGTCCACGTTGCAGCGCCCCGAACTGTGTGGAGATCAACTACGTCATAATGAGCGATGAGTGTTATTGTCAATCTTCATTAGTACATCTTTGGTGTAATTTAGACTTTCAGCACGATCATATGGGCAAGCCATCCATAAGAATCGTTTGAAGAAGATTTGATATGGATCATTATGAAGAGATTGTGAGAAATTCTCAAGGACTGAAAGGAATTGAAAAGGGGCATGGGGCGCAACAGGCAAACCTGCGTGACCATTCTGGCCCAAAAAAAATACAGCTCTGCATTTATAGCAATGGAAAACATCTAAGCTCCGAAATTGAAAGTTTTCAGCGTAATACGGTACCGCCGGTGCCGCCGTGAAATCTTTGAAATAAACGCAGTACGCGCTCTCCTAGAATTCAGGTTCGAGCAGAAAAAGGATTGTATTCTGAAAGGGCTTACTTCAATCTGCCCAAAACTGCACAAAATTTTTCCAAATTTTTCCATTTATTGCCATTCTGAAGCCCACGCCAAAGTAAGCCCACGATCTTGAATGTTGCCAGTTCACAAATGATTACACGGCAGCCATAACTGAGTCATTTGAAGGACAAAGAATAAGGATTCGGCATCATTGATACCCTCGGACATGTGCCAAACCACTCTTCTTCATACTTGGAAAGGGCACAGAATGCGTGCGAGCCCATTACACCGACGTACGGGGCCAGCCATCGCCAGCTTAGTGTTTTTATCCTCTCAGATTACTCTGATGCAAATTCACCATTTCCAGTGAGTAGAGGGTCGGTTAGCCCAGAGGCGGGGGACAGACATTGGTCATAGCGGCGCCTACCTCTACGCCACTCGTCTCCCCGTTTCTGTTATTGCAAGAGAAAATTTTCTTGACCTACTGTTTCCTTTAGTCTTTTTGGACGAATGCGAAAACTTAAGGGTCGCTCCAATGCGTTTGGATTATCGCCTGCCCAATGTGCGTGTGCATATTCTTATTCAACTAGTCGAGTAATTGCTCGCTTTATGACTTTACAGTAAAGGAAGCCGTTTGAGTGATCATGATTGGTCACCAAAAACAGGAAGGAAAGTTTGCAGGGATGCTACAATTATCAATGTCATTGATTTTTCAAACTCATAACATTCCACTGTTCGTTTTTTTTTTGGAGAATTGGAATTTGCAGTTCTGCCAGGACAAATATGGACTTTAATTCCATTGTGCAAACACTCATTTTCACCAAACTAGTCAGTGTGTAATTGCACACTTTTTTAATCCGCAGTAAATGCCGAAGGGGCGGAGTGACCATCATAAAGACAAGAAGTTACAAAACAACATAAATTTTGGAAGAAGGGCGTTTTTCAACGCCATAGATCTGCTGCAGATGCAAGAGCAATATTGCACAGACTGACAAATTTTGGAGAAGGCTGTTTATAGCTCATCACAATTCATGACAACATGCTAATATGTGCGCGTGTTCAGTTCCCAATCGGATTCTCTTTCTTCGTCTTTACTAGATACTTTTATCCATAGGCTAATTTTGATGTATTAGGTTGTTTAGAAAGTTCTGCCAATTCGATACCCAAAGACCGAAATAAATGAAACAGACAGCGTGAAGACATGTTCTCGACCTCTGGTCCCAGCTATCAAATACGCCTCAGCTTCAAAAAAATCATGATCTGGGCAATCCAAAGAAGAATCTATCCCTCTAAGGGAAAACGCCATTTGGTTGAAAGCAGCGTCCGCCCTAGGTCAGGGTTCTTGAGCTTCTGGCAGCAAATTAGTAGCCTCCCCCTCCTTTATGAAGTCAATACTTAGTCGCGGCGCAAAATGTTGCTTCGAAAGCGGAAAACTCGCTCCGATGTAAGATGAAGAGGCACGAGGACTCTAGTAGTGCCCGCCTCGCTCGTCCCCCCCCCCCCCATCCAATCACCGTTCGGCCACGCAGGTTCTCCGCAAAAGAGATTATAGGGGTTTTCGCGGATTCTTACTTACTTAGATACTCAAATGGCTCGTCTTCACGTGCGTGCAGGCCTCAGCACACAAGTTTTCTTCGATCTTTGTCCCTCGCTTCAGACATATACGATCAGGGCCCGGCACAGATCGTCTGGAGGCAGGCTGGAGTTCGTTTTTGAAGCAAACAGCAAAGGGGATATTGTTTTTGACGAGTCGGAACCGAGCGCCAAGAATAAGTGCCATTTATGGAGCACAAGCTTTTCGGACAGGTTATCACACGATTGACATGCTCTATCGTGCATGGCGAAAAGTGCGCGCGATTTGAAAGCAAGTCTAAAATAAACAAATTGCTTCTTTACAGCGCACACGAAAGCATATGACACTAAAATTGGACTGTATGTATAGAAAATTATTTGCGAAAGTATTATGTAAAAGTCGAAAACTTATGTGAAGTAACATCTTTTCCGGAATTAGATCGTCTCCAGACGGCCACCAGACGATCTGAGATCGTCTGGAGCATATATTTTCGTCACTTCATATAAGTTTCGGATCTTTCTAGCAT